GGTCCAGTCCCCCCCCCCCACCCCATGGCTGCTTGGGTGGTTGGTAGCACTCAGCGCCTGCTTGGCGTCGCATTTCGGCTTAATGCTGGGACCGAACACAAGACGGGCGATCGCGCTGGGGCCGCAGAGATCAGAGGCTTGGCACCCCCACCTCCCTGTTTCAGGACACCCCCGTCCCGATAGCAGAGCTTCCCTCTTTGCCTTCTGTGCAACATTTGCCAGCTGCTCATTTCCCGGAACGCCGCTTACGGTTTTCCTGATAAGATGGGGCTGCCCAAAGCTTTCTCTGCTGGAGCTCCTGGTGGCCTTTCCCATCCGCCCAGGAGGTGAAGCTCCTCCATGGCCCTGCTCCAGGCCGGGGGTCAGTGCTTCTGAGCAAACCGCGTGGCGTGGGCCCAAGTTGGCTTGCTTGTCGGAGGCGCCATCGGCTCAGCTCCCTTTGGAGGGCCCCTGAGCAGCGTGCGGGGCCGGGGCGGGTGGTGCTCCTGTGTCCGACGGCTCCGTCTCCCCGCCCAGGGCTACGGCTTCCCTGTCAACCAGCTCTTTGACTTGCTGCTGGAGATCCGGGACCAGTACAGCGAGACCCTGCTGAAGAAGTGGGCCGGGACCTTCAGGTGAGCCTCTTCCTTGGTCAGGCGCCTGCCCGCTTGCTGCATTTCCGTCACACACAGCGGCCCCAGCAGAGGAGAAAACGGCAGGACTCACACTGGGCTCCTCCCGCCTAATAGGAGTCGTATTTTGAACGAAGGTGTTGCAGAGACAGGTCCCGGCAAGTGTCCCTTGATGAGCATGAACTGGACGCAGGAGCTGAGAGCTGCCCTTGCACAGTTCCCGGGTCCAACGTCTCCCCTGTGAGAAGCGCCACCGGCAGCCGCCTGGGACCGGACATGTCTTCCAGAAGCCGGGACTGGCTTCAGGATGCCTTTGGTCCTCCGGCACGGCAGGCCGCGTCCCGTGGGTCGCAGTGGGCTAGCTGTGGTGTTAAGCCTTGGACTGGTGGTGCCTGCCCCCCTCCAACTATCCCCCTAGTGCTGATGCACCTCCCCGTTCTTCAGCATCCGTTGCCGCAGGAGACCTGCCAGCTCGGAGCAGTGCCGTGCCTGGCGCGCTCCCTGACTGGGAGAAGCGGTCCCCGTCGGCCAAGTTGGGCCGTTGTGGCGCCCTTGTTTCTGGAAGCTCGGCCTTGGTGAAAGACTCCTGAACCCACTCGCCCCGTGGCCGGGATGGACCGGGCCGCTCCGCTCTGTGGGTTCGGGCACATAGGGCCTGGAAGCTTTCCCAGCAGGCCGTGTTGTCCTGAAGATGCCCCCAGGCGGAAAGCATTTGTGGCCCGGGGCACGCCTGGCGACGTCAGGCGCCCAGTCGGCGTTTCCATGGGGCAGGGAGGGAGGCGCGGTGGCTGGCCTGATGACGGTGCCCCGAAGCCGCCGCCTCGTGTCGCCCGCCGAGCCTTTGCTGCACGTGTGTGCGTGGGGGGCTGCTCCCTCTGGCGCTGTGTGGGCCCAGCCGGAGGCTCGTGGGCCGTTCGGAGGAAGGCATGCTTCCCGACGCTCGCAGCTGCCGATGGTGAGCTTGTGTGGCGGTTCCGCCCGGCGGCCTCGCCCACCATTCCAGCTGGGGGTGGCCGTGCTGGGCAGGAGGCCCCCAGGCCCGGGGGTGGGGCACCCTCCCAGTTTCTGTGGCCTCTTGACTCTTCACGATGCGTGAACACATCTTCCCGAAGGACAGGAGACAGTCTGCAGCTTTTCTTGCAGTGCACACACAACAAGTAAATCTTTTCTCCTGTGCAAGCATAAGCAGCGCCTTCTGCGCACGGCTCCAGATCTTTAAATTCTGGGCCTTTCGGTGGAAATGGGTGTGACCTCGGAAGGTGAGGGCACAGCCCGGCCTCAGCTGCAGAAGCGGCTTCTGTGCCCCCCTTCGTCCTGCGTTCGGCTGCCCTGAGTCAGCCAGCCAGGCTGTGCGCATTCCACACGGTGCATTCTGTTCTGATGACCTGGAATGGGCTTGTCGATTTTCACATCGTTCTTCGGTGTCTCTGGAGAACGGACTTTGTGCTGAGAGCATTAGGTGTGAATAAAGCAGGAAGGGCACGGTGTTCTGCCTGCCGAGGAAGAACTGCAAAGGGCCCGGGACTTCCTACATGTCCCAGCCCCCTGTGCCGGCTGGGGGTGCTGGGAGTCGTGGGCCTTTTTCCTGCCCAGACAGGCAAAAGGTCCCCGCTCAGGGGCTTTGGGAATGGCTTCTTCCTCTCCTGCCCACACCTGCCCTGTTCGTTGCAGAAATATTCTCGACTCGGATAACTATGCTCCCATCCCGGTGGCCAGCGAAGAGCTGCATCAGAAAATAGTGGGGCAGTTCCCTTTCCATGATGCAGAGCTTGAAAAGGTGAGGGGACGCACGGGCAGCGGGGGCTCGGAAGCCTGGGCCTTCCCCTTGGGACCCTTTCTCGTAGAAGGGGGCCTTTTGGTTCAGAATATTCTGCCTCGGCGTTTGCTTTGGAGCCGCTGAAGCTGGATCGGGGCTTGAGCGAATCTGGAAGCTCCCCAGATTGAGAAACAGAAACAGCGCGAGCTGGAAGGGGCCTCCCAGGCCATCTAGTCTGACCCCCGGCTCCAGCCAGCTGCACTCATAACATGCCTCCCATGTGCATGTCCAGCCTGTCCTTGAACGCCCTCACGGATGGGGCCTCAGCCACCTCCCGGGGAGCCCCTTCCATGCCCTGGGGGTCCTAGGGAGGCTGGGGCTCAGGGGCAGGCCACATTCCCCAACAGTGCCCTCCAGATGCGCCGGATTGCCTCTCTTGCTGCCTCTGGAAGGCTCTGGGTGGAGGGTGGACGGTGCCCAGGCAGGCGGGGGCCAGTGCAGGGAGCCCGGACGCTGCCTCCATCTCCACAGCACTTTCGGGCTGGGGCGTTACATTGATGGGTATCCTCTCCTGGGTGGCAGGTGCCAGCCCCTTGGGCATGGATAGGGCAGAAAGAACAGAACCGGCATCCAGAGGCTCGGGCGGGAGCACGGCGGCCCAGGACGAACTGCGGAAGCGCCTTCAGCCTCCCGGGCTGCACGGCGGCTTCTCCGTGGGCGCGCACGCTCCGCCCTGATGGGCGCCTGCCCTCTCCCTCGTCTGCTCTTGTGCTCTGCAGCAGCCGTTCCCGAGGAAGCTGCCCTTCTCTGAGTTCGTGCCTCGAGTTTATCACGAGATCAAGGAGTTCATCCACGCCTGCCTGAGGTTCTCCGAGGACCTTCACCTGAGGTACGACGACCAGGCGTGGCCCACTTCTCCGAGGCTGGCGATGCGACTGCATTCTCCCTGTGCTTTGCCGTGGCCGGCCCCAGGCGCCCTGTGTCAACGCTTGCGTGTCCCCGTAGCCTTTTCCCGGGCCGGGCCGGGCCGGGCCGGGCCCGCCAGCATCACCGGTGCAGCGGGTGCCATGCGATGGGAGCGGCAGGTATCCTCAGCACCGTGGCTGCTGGTGTTGCTGCTGTCGCTCCTTCAGGCATCCTTCAGCCGTGCCTGATCAAGTGGGGGGCTTTAGGCAGGCCCAGATCCAAAGGATGCAAACGCACGTGGCCCCCGTGGCCCGCTCCTGGTGGGAAGCTTTTGAAAGAGACATTCCAGAAAAGGAAGAGCAGGGGTGCATCTGGCATCAAGCCTGCAAAGGGCTGGAGAGCCAGAGCCGAAACTTGTTCCCGAAGCTTGCGTCGTCTTCCCTTTCCCCAAGCAGCCTAAAACCTCCAGAGGCAAAGGGTCGGCACGCGCCGGGTTCTCTCTGGCCTTCCAGCCAAGGCTTGTTGCTGCCCATGGGAGGAGCCAAAGGACACCTGGCCAGCCTACGGGAGCCTCCTGGGCAGGAGCAAAGCCGGCATCTGGAGAGCAGCGCCACTCCAGCCCCAGGTGGTCCAGGCGGGACGTTGCTCCCCCAGTCAGCCAAGCGCTCTGTGCTGCGCCCGCTTCCCGTTCCGCTGCTCCGGCTACTCTGTGCCATCCAGCAGTCCGAGACCTGCGAATGAGGTGCCCCTGGGCTCAGGGCTGTGTCTTCCCTCATGTTTGGCCTGCCTGTTCTTCTCCTGCCTCTGACTTCCCCCAGCATGACCGTGTTCTCAGGCGAGTCTTGCTTCCTCACGTTGTGCTTGAAGTGTGCCAGCTTCAGTATCGCCCATCTTCCTTGGAGGGTCTGGAACCAAAATCAACACCCGCTTGCTTCTGTTTTATTTCTGGCGTCCAGGGTGTTCAGAGCTCTCCTCCTTCTCAGTCCTGCAAATGCATCACCTCTCTCCCTGTCGGATTTCTTCCCTGCCCATTTTTCGCACCCGTATCTAGTGATCACGGGTACGGCAGAGCGATGGCCTTGGCCTTGGCCTCCGGTGAAACGTCGCTGATCTTTCCTGGGCCCCTCACCGATGCCCTTCCGCGCCTCAGGCTCCTCTGAATTCCCTGGCTGGAGTCGGAATCGGCTGCAAGAGAGTACACAGACATGGCCGCCACCTGAGTTGCGTCCCGGGCTGCGTTCCGCGATGTCGCTGTGGTCGTGCCTTTGCTTTCTTAACGTTGGCTGCAGTGCTGCTCCTGCACTTTCCGGAGTCATTTCAATCCCTTGCTGGTTTCTGCAATAACAAGCTCTCACCTGTATCGCGGTGACTTGTCTTCTGCCAATCTTCCTTCCTGCTTCTTCCGAACCTAGTACAGCTTTCCCAGTTTTCTGCAAACGGATTGAGCAGGCAGGGAGGTAAAATGCACCCTTGTCTGGTGTCTTTGCCGAGAGGAGACAGCTCTGCTTCACCGTCTCCCGTCTTCACTGCGGCGTCTGGTCCACAGCGCAACGTGCGCATCAGGACGGTCCGCTGCTGAGCCCCCCCTTCCAAGACCACCAGAGCTTCTCTTGGCCCACGCCACCCTGTGCTTGGCCGAGGCCTATAAAGCGCAGCTGGATCTCCTGGGAGGCTGGCTGGTGCTCTGCAGCAGGCACTGCTCGTTTGCGGTGGATGTCGAGTGCCTCTTCCTTTCCGGGAAGCGCCAGCGCTGTGGGCCGCAGCCGGGGGTGGGCAGCGCAGGGCTCGCGGGAGCGGGCGAGCGAGCGAGCACCCCTCTTTTCCAGTCGTCTTCTCGGATTGACGGCTTGGATGGCTTTTCATGCGGCCCGTTGCCTGCTAAGCCGGCAGCAGCTCCCTCCCCGCCTCTCCCTCCCCTGTCTTTACGAGGCACCCTGGAGCCACGCGGGTCAGGCTGTCCGTCGCCCCCGCCACGGGGGTCACGACTTCTGCGGGAGGGTCTGCAGGAGGCCGCTGCCCGGGTCGCGGGCTGCTCTCCCCTCCCCAGCTGCTCTGGAGCACTTGCCCGGCGAAGGCGGGCCCTGTCGCAGCGAGCACAGAGAGTGTTCTTCGTGAACTGGGACTGCAAGCCGCCGCGTGGGACGGAAGCGTCTGCCTGCCCACACCCCACCATGAGCCAGGTCGAAAGGGCGGGCACGTCTAGCTCTGAGTCAGGAGACTCAGGCTCCCCCGCCCCGCCACGCTGGGCTGCCCCAGGGAGGCGTGCTGAGCCGTTGCACACCACCTCTGCCCTCTGTGCGTGGAGCGTGTGCCCTGCGCCCTGCCCAGCCCGTCCCTGGGCCCGCGCATGGGGGCGGGGGGGGCAGCTCGCGTTCCGCCCGGCCAGCCTGCCTGCCCGCCCTCCGAAGTCAGGCTTCTGCCTGGAGGGGCCGTCCCCTCTCCCGCAGCAAGGAGCGTGCGGGGCTGACCCACAGAGGGGCTTTCCAGGCCCCGGAGGCGGTGGGGCTGGCGGCAGTCCTGCTGCTTCCCCTTGCTTTGATGGCCACCCCGGGGTTGCCCAGGTCCGCTGAGCCATGCGGGCAACTGGCGGCCATGGCCTGCACCGCGGGGTGGGGGCTGCACAGGAGGAGCCCTGGCGAGCCCCTTCCCTTGGCCAGGCGGAGAGCACAGAGCTGGCCTCCCCCCTCGGCGCCGGACAGGGCTGACGTGGACCCTTTGGCCCCTCGCCTCCGGCAGCCGCTCTCGCCATTTGTCGGCTCATTTGGCGGGGGCAGCGCTTGCCAGCAGCCCGCGAGTTGCGACTGTGCCGGAGCCTTTCCCGCCCGGACCCTCCCTGCCCGCCCTGCCGGCCGCCGGCCCTCCTCCTCCGACACACGAAGGTGCCTGTTGGTTCAGGCCTAATGCGGCCGATGGGAGAGCAGAGCCACAGCCCCTTCCCCAGGCCGCTTGCTCTGCTTGCTCGCCGTGGAAGGATTGCCCCCCGGGGGAGGCGGGGGAGGGAGGGGCCCTCCGGCTGGGCAGCGCGGCTTGTGGGGGGCCGTGCTCCTGGGGAGAGCGAGAGGCCGGGCGACTCGGTTGAGCTCCGCGGGCCCCTCGGCACGGACCTGTAGCTGGCTTATTCTGTGGCCCGGCTCAAGGGGGGGCCAGCCGGGAGCCCCCCAGAGAAGGGGCAAAGCTGGAAGACGTGGGTGTTCAGAGCGGGGTGGGGCATCGTCGGGGGCGCTCCCGGCACCGCCGCGCCCTTGCAGCTTTCTGCAGGCCAGCACGCCGCTCTCCCGGCACGGGGTCCCGCGGGGCCGAGACAGGAGCCGGCTGCCAGAAAGGGCGTAAGAGGACCCTGCGCTTCCGATGCGAGAGATCGGGCTTGGGCTGGAGGCGGGGGGGGGGGCTCTGTGGCTGGTTCATCAGGCAGAGGCCCCCAAGGCCCCCGGCGTGGCTGCTTGGTGGCTGCCTGGGCACCTCTGTTCGACACCCGGCTGGGCTCCCTGAGCGGCACTGGCAACGCCACTCGGCCGGCCAGAATTCCTGGCCCGGGCGCCTGCCCGGCCGCCTTCAGGCGCGAGAGCTGGGCTGGGATGTGGTGCGCTCGGCTTCTGGAGTGCTGCCCTCCTTTGGGGCCAGGGCTTTGCTCAGGGGCCGCCTGCGTCTCCCAGCGCCCTGTCCTGTTGCCCCCACCCGGTACCTGTTGCTGCCAACGGCCCCTCACGCCCTGCGGGGGAGTCTCCCCGTTCTTCCGTCTGCGTCAGTCTCTCTGTGTGTATTGGTTCCCCCCTTGAGTCTAGCAGTTGCCTCAAAGCCCGCAGAAAGGCTTCGCCCGGTCATCCGCGTGTCCGTTCGGAATTCCCTTTTTTAACAGCCTGCAAGGTGCCATAAATAGCCAGAAATCGAAAGGAGCAGCTCCTCCACACCTGCCTAGCCAGGAGGCCCTTAGGTCATCTTTGGGGGGCCCTCTCAAGGAGCCCCCTTTGAAGGAAATACGGAAGGGGGTACAAAGGAGAAGGGCCCTTTGGCACCCCAACTTTGGAATCAGCTCCCCAAAGAGGTTCGCCCGGCACCATCTCTTGACTCTTTTTGGTGCCAGGTGAAGACCTTCTTATTTACTCAATATTTTAATTACTAAGATAATTTTAAAGTTTTTATTGTGCTTTATAGTATTTTTATATTTTAGTGCTATTGCCCTTTTATTGTGTGCTTATTGGTTAAGACCTGCGGTTATAGGAAGGTCATCGTGAGATTTTATTGCAGGTGTTTTTCTGAGGATTACTGGGATTTGATTACTGTCAGATTGGTTAAATTAATGCTACTTATATTATGATATATCTATCGTTTTATAATGCACTTTGTAACCCACCCTGAGAGCCATGTTGCTGAAAGGGGTGGGGTACAAATCCAGTAAACTAGCAAACAGACAAACAAAACAACTCCAGTGGCCGTTCTCCGTCGGGACCCCTCCTTCTCGCCCCAGTGCCTCCCCTCGCCCGCTCTTTCGGACTTGCCTTCTGTAAGAATTTTGCTTCCTGTTGGAAGTGGGGGCAGAAATGTCCACCAGAAGCTCACTCTGGTGTTACGCCATGTCCCCCCATCTCTCTCTCTCTCTCTCTCTCTCTCTCTCTCTCTCTCTCTCTCTCTCTCTCTCTCTCTCTCTCTCTCTCACACACACACACACACACACACACACACACACACACACACACACACACACAGAGTGCGAACTGGTGCTGGCAGCCACTGTTTTTCCAGGCCGGGAGGTGCAGGCTCCTCATGAGAGGTCGGGACCATAGTTTGCTGAAATCGCGCTGGGGCTGGCGAGGCCCCCGCGTGTGGGAGCCACGGCCAGCCTGGGATTTTGGCCCCGTGCTGGGATCTGGAGATGGCCACCCGGTCGCCCCTGCTTCGCTGCCCCACCGAGGCATCCTTCTGGGGCACCTCGCTTATTCCTTCCCTTAACTCCGGTCACCTCTCTCTCCGTTTTAGCTCTACCGAGGTTGATGACATGATCCGGAAATCTACCAACTTGCTACTGACCCGAACGCTGAGCAACTGTTTACAGAATGTCATTAAGCGGAGAAACATCGGCCTGGCGGAGGCAAGCGCTTTGCTCTGAGGAGTCGGGGCGAGGGGGGGGTTGCCCCCCCAGAGCTGCTCTGGGCACCCCACTGAAGCGGACGGGACCGGGCGGCACAAGTTCCCCCCCCCAGGCCGGCTCGGAGCGCGAGCCTCGCAGCCGGCAGGGAGGCTTCCCCGCCCGCTCTGCGCTGCGATCGCCTCTCCCCGTCGCGCCAGCGCTTTCCCCTTGGGAGCAGCCCGGGGCGCCGCACACTGCCGGATCTGCGTGTCACGCGCAACAGGAATCCTGGCAAGGCCCGGAAGCAGCTGTGCTGCGAGCCGCAGCTCTGGCTGCCGAGCGCCTGGTGCGGAACGGCGTGGCGGCCCAGCGCAGGAGCCCCATCCCCGCAGGGCGGAACGCCTGTGTTGGGGCGCTCCTCCAAGCCGCTCGGCACCCGGTCGGTGTGTGAGGAAGCGCCGGCCGGGCCTCTCGGTGGACCAGCCATGGCGCAGCCATCCTGGGGGCCGAGGAGCCCCTGGGCTGCGCTCCACACCCCTCCCTCGGCAGCCTCTCCCTGCCGTGCCTCGTCCCCCGGGCACCTCCCCTGCTTGACACACAGAGGGGGGGCACGGCTAGCGGTGTGGGGGGGCTGGCCTGGGGCCAACGGGCAGCTTGGCCGCCTGCTCCAGAACCGCCTCGTGAAGCAAGGCAGCCTTGCCCGCCACAAGAGGGGGGGCCTTGCCGCTTACGGGGGGCCGGCCTCCCCGTCCTGGCGCTGGGGTCTTCCCCTGCCTCCCCGCCGCTCGATCAGCTCAGTGAGCCAGTGAGCAGCTGAAGGCTGAGTCACGGAGCCGCCTGCCCGGGCCGGTGCCGTGGGGGGCAGCAGGGGGGCAGCCAGAGGGGAGAGCCGGTGCCCCTCGGCTCCACGTACCCCTGGGGCCACCTCTGAGGACAGGTGCTGTGGCGCTGTGCTCGGGGGCCGAGGCTGCCCGGTTGGTGCTCCGCCGGCGTGTGGCGTGCCTGCAGGTGTTCCTGCGGAGCCGTGCCTGAGCCGGAGGGGCGGGTGCCGTCTCTCCGGCTTGCATCGCCTCAGACGTCTTGGCAGCGGGCCTCAGACTGACCGTCTTGTGTGTTTTTTGTAACCCATTTGTCTTGTAATGGGATTTGAGGTGTAATGAGATGAGCTGATTGTAGAAAATTCATCAGGGGCGATTCCTGCCTCTAGCAGAAATCCTCCCTAAGGGCTGTGACGGCCGGGGAAGCGCCACCTGCCAGGGGCCCGAGACGGCCCTTGCGCTCTGTCCAAGCCGTCGTTCTGTCCCCTGCTGGAGGCCGTGCCGGAATGGCGCCCGGTGTGCCTTTTATCTGTCCTGCCGGTCGACCGTTGCAAAACCGGAGCGTGTCGCTTCTGCAGCTGGTCCAGATCATCATCAACGCCACGCACCTGGAGCAGTCCTGCAGGTTCCTCGAGGCGTTCATCACCAGCATCACCGACGTCCTTCCAGAAACCGTCCACACAACCAAGTTGTATGGGACCACCACCTTCAAGGTGAGCCGGCTGCCCTGCCCTGCGCCCCTGCGGCCCGGCCTCTTGGCGGAGGCGCGAGGCCTCATGGGCGAATGCCTGGAGTGCGTCCGGGGAGCCCCTGAGCCGGAGGACCAGGAGCCGTGCCGTTGCCTGACTGGGCTTGAGCTGGTGGCACAGCGCCGCTGGCACCGTCGGCGAGAGGGCGGGAAGCAGGGTTTTGCTCGGGGGCAGGAAGGGAAAGTGGCGCCTGCGGAAGGGACCACAGCGAGGACGTGGCGGCAGGTCTGTGAGTGGACGTGCTCCCCTGCACGCACTTTTGGGGGACGGGGTGTGTGTTCGTTCGTATCCATACGCACATGGACCTAAAACATGCCCCGTGTTTGCGCCGTGACCAAATTGCGCGTGACGCGGCCAGGGCCGCCACTGTCCCTTTCTTCCCTTGGAGTGCCCACGCGCCGTCTCTCTCTCGCGATGCTCCAAACATTTGACCTAAAAATGACCATATAATGAAATGGCACCTGCTGGCTGAGCACTCAGATGCACTGAGCCCCCCGTGCTGCCACGAACCCCTGGGAGGCCGCTGGAGTGGGAGGGAGGCTGTTTACCTGCCCCTTGGCATCCGCAAGGCCGCCCCAGCTGAGCTTGGCTTCGGGGGGGCCCTCAGTGGGAGCCGGTGCCGAGATGCCTCAAGCGCTTGGAGGTTTAGCTTGAAAGAGAACCTGGGGAAAGCCCTTGTCCAGTGCAGAGGGGCTCACGTCTTACGTATTTGCCTAGACAATTTACTCCTTGCCTTACTTCACAAAATAACTCAAAGAACTATCAAAGGTTCATAAAACAGTTGAATTTCCCCTTATTTCCTCTTCTTAGAAACACAGAAACATAGAAACAGAGCAAGTCAGAAGGGTCTCCCAGGCCATGTAGTCTGACCTCCGGCACCAGCCGGCTCCGCTCACGACACGCCTGCCATGTGCATTCAAGACAGCTTAGAATTTATGTTGGACAATACAACAACCAACATTAAAACCAGTTTAAAACAATACCATCTAAAATCCAAACTACTTTAAATGTTGTACCAGTAGCAGGAAAACAAACATGTCCATAGTCTTGTCCTTGGAAGGCTCAGAGAACATAGAATCCTAGAATCATAGAAGAGTAGAGCTGGAAGGGGCCAGAAGGCCATCGGGTCCAAGCCCAGCTGTTGCAGGACACCAAGCCACCCCACCCCACTCGCAATTTACTGGCCCGCCGTAGCCGAGCACCAAGGCGAAACTCGCGCAGCGTGCCCGGGAGCCAGCTCTGTGGTCACAGGTGCCCGGTGGAGAAAGGCCAGGCCCCGGCTGCAGCCCAGCTCTCTCCCGAGGGCAGAGGACCGGCCCTTCCGGGCTTCTCGGGCGGAAAGGCTCACCAGGCCAGGCCGGCCTCTCGGCCCCAGGCCCCAGGCCCCACGCGTGGCTGCTGCTCTCCCCCACACCTCGCAGGAGCTCCTCCCCTAACCGTCATGGCGGCAGTTGCACAGGGCGAAGCTGCACCTTAAGCACAGGAGGTGGGGGCCGCGCGGGGGCGTCCTTCACGTGGGGTCTCTCTCCGCCTGCAGGATGCCCGCCACACTGCCGAGGAGGAGATCTACACGAACCTGAACCAGAAGATAGATCAGTTCCTGCAGCTCGCGGATTACGACTGGATGGCCCTGGAGGCCAGCGCCAAGGCCAGCGACTACCTGCTGGACCTCATCGCCTTCCTGCGCAGCACCTTCGCGGTCTTCACGCACCTGCCGGTAAGCACGGCTTCCCTGCCCTGGTTTTGGGGGGCGGTCTTGGGCACGATCCCACACGGGCCGCCTGTCCTCGTTGCAGTCACTCCTACAAGGAGAGAGAGGCTTTCTGGTAAACGGGCCCACGCGATGCCCTGGGAGAGCGGTCGTGCAGTCAGCTCACACCTGGTCTGTGCTCGGGCACCTGTGAAGTGGGACGTGATATTCCAGCAGGCTTCCCGGCCCCTCTGCCCACCTTGGGCTTCCCGGTGGGGAGAAAGGCCCACGCCCAGGCCAGGCCCTGCTCCGCAAAACCCTCCTGGGCTCTGCGTGGTGCCTTCCCATCCTGGCGGGTGCGTGGCTCATGTGGACATGCAGGAGGCAGGCGGAGGCTGCGGTGATGGGGGGGGGGGCTCGCGGGAGGGATCTCTCCGAAACCGGCCCCGAGGCCCTTCCAGATCGTCAGCGCAGACGTTGCTGCCTCCAGCTTGGCCTGGAGACGGTGTGTCGGCGAGGCCGTCGTCGTGGCTGGCTTGTGTGGAATGGTTTGGCAAAAGCATTCGCTCCTTGCAAGCGCGGCCCCAATCCTCTGATTCTGGTGTATTTCGGTGCCTGCCGAACTGACGCCGTGTTGGACGAGGGTCGCCGCTTGGGGTCGGGATCTGGCACAAAGCCTTCATGGGCAAGAGAGGGGCTCGGCCGCGTGAGGTGGCCCCACAGAATCCCCCCGCGGGTCCCGACCAACTGCGGCAGAGGCCCTCCGCGCCTGGAGCACGCCAGGCACAAAAGCGTGGCCCCGGGGCCCCGGCTTGCGCACTGGAACCGTTGCAGTTGCTTCTGTTGCGAGACAAACCTCCCCCCACACCCATCTCCACCCAGGGAAAAAAATAAAATCTTAGATTAAACAAGTTAATAAGAAAAAATCGGTCTGCAGCTCTTTGGAGAATTAAGCGGAGCGCCAGTTTCAGGAGATGACGATCCCGGAGCGGGGAGAGAGAGGCCTTTTGTTCTTTGCGGCTGATTGTTGTTTTAATTTCGTGTCAGACAAGTTAATGTAAATCGCCCTGACAGATCTGCAGCGAGCACACGGATTTGTTGACTTTAAGCCTCTTGGAGATGGAAGGTTATGTCAACACCCACGGTGGGGCTGTCAGCTTAACAAAGCAAGGAAGTTTTTTATTTGTTAGGGAAAGGGGTGTTTTTCTGTTTTGATTCAGAGTTTCCTTTAATCCTTGGAGGCTTGTATCTTGATAACCTTCTTTGCAAGGTAATCAGGGCAGGTCAAGAGGTTAGGACAACCTGGTAAGGGGAAGCGATCTTTCAGCGCTCTCCCAGCCCCACGGCTCCCTCCGGGCTGCAGCCCTAACTCTCCCTCCGCAGGGGGAGCCGGTGCGCTCCCCTCTGCCTCTCTCCCCGCGGCCCCCTCCTCTCGGCCCCCTTCCTCCCCGCTGTTTACTTCTGGCCAGATGGTGAGCACAGATTTCAGACGGGGCCGGGCGAGGCCTCGCGAACCTTTTGTTGGAGGCCCGGGCCGTGTGTTCCGTGCCCTGTGCGGGGCGCTTTCCAGGCGCGTGCCCATTTTCCCCAGAAAGGGGAAACGCGGCCGGGTCCGGGGGCTCCGGGGCGTCTGCGGTGTGGGCAGCAGCGAGGAAGCGGGGCTGCCCCTTTGGCCCCAGAAGCCGTGGCACGGTGGGCAGCGTTTATTCCTGGTTTACATAAACAAAGATGCCGCCTCCTCTCTGCGGGGCGGGTGGAAACCGCGCCTCCCACCAGCCGCGCTGGTCTCTTGGCCGCCGGTGCAGCCACTGCCACGGGCTCGGTGTGCGTCGCAGTCCTGGCCCACCTGACCGGGCTGTTGACGGCTGTGCGTGGGAAGAGCCCGGAACACGCCGTGCGGATGCCGGATGGCACGACAGCCCCTCTGCACAGCGCCAGACAGGAGGGGCTAGCTTTGGGGAAGGGCTGGGGCCCTCGGGGGCCGAGAGGGCCGGGGGCAGATAGCAGCAGAGCCCCTGCTGGCCGCTGGAAGGCCGGGCAGTTTCTCGTCTGCATCCTCCCAGCGGCAGGACACGGAAGGACGGGCTCCAGCGACGGAGAAGCGTCCTGACGGTTAGAGCAGCCCGGCAGAGGAGCCCGTGGGCTCTCCCGCATGTGGGGCAGCCCTGCGAGGGGGCGCTTGACTGGACCCCTGCCCTGAGCCGGGGTTGCACGTGATGGCCTTGCAGGCCCCGTCCGTGATTCTGACACTTTGACTGCAGGCGGACCCAGGCCGACCCCGTGAACCCCCAGAAGAGCTCGGAAAGACCTTCGTAGCAACGAGAAGTGGGCTGGGTGGCCCCCGGCCGCTTCCCAGGATGCTGTGAGGAGGGAGGGCTCTGGGCCAGGGCTCCCGTGACCGCTTGCCGCGGACGGCAGCTCTTCGTTGCCGCCGAGCCGCTGGGGGGCCTCTGCGGGTGCCCTGGGGCCTCCTGCCCGGCGACAGCCCGAGGCCTGGAAGGCGGCAGCCTGCAGGCGCGCAGCCTGCCAGGAGACCCGGGAGCGCGGGGGTCGCTTGGAAGAGGCGCTCAGGCGGCCAAGCCCCAGCTGGGCACGTGGACCGCCCGGGGTGTTCCCCCCAGTCCCTGCTGCAGAGCATGCGAGCAGGGGGGCGCAGGTGCCCGGCCCCCACCGGCTGGGAGGGAGCTGGGGGCCTGCCGCTGTTCGTGGGCTCGCGCACCTGCCCGGCCTCTCCTCGGACGCTTCGGGAAGGAGGGCTCTCTGTTCCAGAGGCCACCGCGTCATCCGCCTGGGCGTTTCTGGGGCGCATCCCAGACTGGAGGCCATCCTGCTTGTGGCCGAGCCCCGGCGCAAGCATGGCGGGGCCAGCCGGGCCGTGGGCCGGCCGCAGCGCCAGCCCCCCCCCCCGGCCCGGTGCGCGTTGCCCGCCGGCTTTGGCCCTCCGCACCTTGGCGGCCAGCCGCGTCTGGTCCACATGATTCACATCTCTCGGGCTTTCGAGCTGCTCAGACAAGTTTGCTCCGTTGCCTTTCTGGGTCATTTGTCTTTCAAAAACATCTCTGCAGAAAGTTAATTGCTCATTCTTGAATCAGAAGCATTTATGGAAAAAAAAAGGGTTCTGTGAGTCTTCAAAGAGACAAGCATAAAATCAAGAAACAACGAAGCCCTCGCACACCGAGTGGAAACAAGGCTGGCCCGGGTGTGCGCGCCCCCCTTGCATCATGGGAGAGACTAGAGGCAAGACGTGCAGCAGGACGTGCGGGGGGCGGGGGGGGGGAGCCACACTGCTCCTGCGGTGGCTGATGGGAAGGGTGCTCCCCGGGCAGTCGCAGGAGCCGAGCTTCCGTGAGGACGGGGCGCTCCGTGTGGAAGTGGGTGACCTCTGACCTGTGCGGGCAAGCTTGCCACGTGGACCGGCTGCAGCGGCTGCGGTGCCCAGCCCTGGGCGCGACGCCCCTGGCTGCGGTTCAGGGTGGAGTGTCGTAGAAGTGCCGTCTGCAGGGCAGGGCACGGCACCCTTCCTGGCCCGGCCCGGCCCGGCCCGTTGGTTTCGACCAGGTGGCTCAGCCAGCGCCCGGCTGCCTGTCCGAGCAGGCTGCTGCGGGCCAGGCGTTACAGGGCCGGCTTCGTCTCGCCACGGGGCCCGAGTCGTGCAGCCCGGCCTCGTCAGAGCGGCCCTTCGGCGTGAGGCCGGTCGCCTCGGCCAAGTCTCCGGTGATCGCGCCTGCACCCCGTGTGCTGCACATGCCTCCTGCGTGCGGCGCCCTGCCGGGCCCGTCACGCGCACGACACGGCGTACCTGCAAGCAGCCGCAGTGTGCAGAGGTCACGGGGCGGCCCCGGGGTGCCCGGCTCCCGCCTGTGGGGGATCGGCAGCCTCCTCCTGCCGAGGTGGCAGCTGCTTTGCGTTTCATGGAAATTCTGCCCAGCGGAAAGCATCTGGTTTCCAAAGCAAGTCCCAAGGAAAGGCAAAGCCACAGAGGAGCTGTGCGAGTCGCCGCCGTCATCGCGTTCCGGTGATCGTCGCAGGCCAGACACCCCGGTGGCTTCTTGGGTGGCAGCTGCCCTGCGTCTTCAGAGTTCGTCCACCCCTTCCCCACCTGCAGTTTGGGGAATAGAAAGGATACTGGGGGCTTTGGCCGACTTGCTCACATCCTCTCGTCCTCTTTTCCTTAATCATGGGTTGCTAGTCCTCATGGCTGCCCCCCGCCCCCCTTTGGGTGGGGAATTGCAACGGCTGAAACGTCGGTGGATGGCTCTCCCTGCCGTAATGGGGGCGGTTACTCGTGGGATGGGAGGCAGCCGGCCGAGCTGGGCTGTGTGGCGCAGCTTGGTCCTCCCTGCAGGCCCGGCTGTGTCTTGCCGAGGGTGGGCACCAGGCCGGCCACCACGGATGGGATGCAAACCAGTGGCCACGCCGGGGCGCATCCCCTGCTCAGATGCAAAGGGCAAGTGCAGGACATTTGTCAGTAATAAAAGGCAGCAAATCGAAAGCAGACGGGCGGAAAAGCTCAGTTTTAGTAAAACACGTGTTTGGCCCGTGGCTCTCGGCGGCGAGGCCAGCAGAAGCGAGGGATTCGGAGGCTTCTCCCAAGGAAGGCCGGGCAGCCTGGCTGAGACCTTTTACAAGCCCCTCAGAAAAGGAATGCAGGGGACTTCCTCGCAGAGGCAAAGAAGCCACTGCGTGGCCAGAGGCAGGTCTGCCGGTGCCTCCCTGGTTCCCCTTAACGGCCCGTTAACTCCCATTTCTCTCCGGCTGGGACCTCGTTTTCTCAACCTGGATGCCTTTGTCAGTGGCCTGGCCAGGGACGGGTCTGCCTGCGCCCCAGTAGCTGCGTTACTTGGCTGGGGGACAAGAGCGGGCTGCTGCAGGCCCCACACCAGCATCGGAACCAGGCCCCACCCTGCTGCGTCCCGGGAAGGGCGCTGCTTCGGCCCCCCGTGCCGCTGCGTGCTCTGGGCAGACCAGAGGGCGGCCTCTGCCTCTGACGTCCAGGGAGCCCGGCCTGGCCCTTGCAGCAGCCTGCC